TATACTGTTTTTGATGCGAAACGTGAGTTCCAAGGTACATATTTTCGCCTGCAAACATGTCAACCACTAAGGTGAGTGTGGGACAATTTTGTTATTGAATTTTGAATTGATTGCGGGAATCATTTTTACCAATAATTTCAGAAAATATTTCTCTGCTATACCGTGGAGGATATTCGTGAAAATTAATTTGTGTATCATATAGAATTGAATGAAATCCCTTAAAATACTCGCTCCATCTTTAAAATCCAAAATCTAACATTTGAAGAAGAGTAGGTGTGCCCCAAAAGAAAATATTGTCAAATAGGATATTGGTTCACCATAAATTGTTTGGAAATAACATTATTATTATCAAATATACTTTCGACATCATGGCTTTGTTATATACTGTCCATTGCTCCAAACTAATTTCTATCCACTTCACCCAAATCTCTAGATTCATTTCTCGATTACGAAAAACTATCGAAAGCAAATGCAACCAGTTGTATTAACCATTGCAGTAAATTTTCAAAGGACACCTTTTCCAAACAAAGCCGAGTCTGCAGTAACATAGTTAGGAGTCCTTCAATATTTGATTTCTGTTATTGGAGCTAAAGTAGATTCAACTCAAGATTTCCCTTGGGAAGAAAAAACCATACAATATTGATGAATCTGTAATTATTTTCCAGATTGGTTTGTTCATAATCGTTTGTAGATAAAATTGGAATCAGACTGTAAGGAATATTTTTCTACGAAATAGTGGGTTACCACGAGGATCATGAGTATTAATTTGCTCCCTTTCCCCAAGTAGACGTTGTGATTTTTCATTTCAAGTTATCGTTAAATCTTCAACAGTAGTAGAGAAATATTTACTTCAATCAAAAAAACAGGACATCTACAATTTGGTAGAAAGTAATAGTAAAATCTGATAATAGTTGTTTTTCACCATTAATTATATTGGCCTGTCTATATTCGTGCAATATGTTTCATATCTGTACTATTTACCTGATTAATGCCACATGAATTATTTCATTTAGATTAATGGCGTGGTTTTTATTTGGCGTAAATGTGTGTTCAACTTTTTGTTTATAATATATTTGTTATTTTTTCAGGATCACAAACTTCATTTGCAATTGTTTCTAATCGAGGACATCCATTGGCCTTGCACGTAACCATTATTTATTTGTGAACTCTACCCGAGATTATAATGTATTATTTCTTGAATAATCAAAAGTATATTATTATTATTGTTAATTTCATAAGCGACACAATTTGTTGTAATCGTAATCGGCTCCATCCACTTGGAAAATGACAAACAAAACATTATTATTTTCAATGTTCTATAGAATTATCACGCAATCAATCAAGTCAATTGAATATATCAAAAATTCATGCCCCTTTATATAATTGATCTGATATGTAATCTATTGTTGATTGAAACATGTCAAAATTTCTGGATGCGTGAAAACTTTATCAAACTGGACATTGGAAATGAATAGTAAATTACTACATCGTGAAAATTTGAACAGATTTCGTTTCCTGATAACTGTTTTTCTGAAAGCAGATGAAACACCACAGGTTGTCAACATTAATATTTGAGTTATGAGACGAAAACTTCAAATTTTGCTGGCATCTAAGCCTTTGAAAAATATATTATAATGCTCAACTATTTGATTCAATTTGTTGGATGCGGAATGGGTGCAAAGTCCATGAGGTGAACAATGTACACACAATGTAGTATTTTCAAGCAATGAGAGGTTTCACCTGATTGAAACATTACTTCTGTTTCTACCTATTCTATAAAACAAGAGGGGTGAAATAAACCAAATCACTGGAATACTAGAAGACTTGAAGGTTTTTTTTTTGGTATAATGAAATATGTGTATGTTCTGTTTTCTGAATCAATTTAATCTCAGAAAGTTCTTCCGAATACAAACTGGAAAAAAAGCCAATTTTGAATAACTACTTCATATGAATATTGAATTGAAAATGGCTTTGTCCAATGTTCTGCAAACTAGAATGAATTGACTCACACCCGAATTAGAAAATTGAATATGAAATATAGTCAACTCCCAAAATAGTCAATGAAGTGCTGACGATTTTTAAGAAATCGACCCAAAATCAATCCTAACATGAAATTACTTTTGGGTGAATCTCAAAAATAAAAGCATTGTTTCTTCAAAAGATTAGACTGTTTAGAGAGAGCAGTAGCCATGTTGTTTTGGATTCAATGTTTATATTCATACTAGCTTTTACTCGCGGCTTCATTCGCATTTATTGCTAGGTAGTACATGTTTAGTTTATGTCATTAAATAAGTGTCAGTATAATAGAAATGAATCAATATGAAAACTATATTTTAATGCTTGGCTGGGATTATCAATCTTTTTAAATTATTACATATAATGAAGTTTCGAAAATTTAAATGATGCTTTATTGAATTGCAACAAATGTTGAAATCATATTTCACTGTAACGAAAATAAATAATTTTCAATTCCTACAATTTAAAAAGAAAACCTAACCTAACCTAACTTAAAAATGAAAATGACACAAGAAAATAACAATAAATATAGAAAAATTCCAAACAGCTGAAACTATAGTCAATTGGATTGGAACTTCATTACTAGAATGCTAGATGACGTTAAAGTAGCTAGATTTTCAGATTTTTTTGGCAATTTTTTTTATGCAAATGATAAAAGAAATTTCATATTAAGTTACTTCTAATACCTCCAAGAACATGTGTAACAAACAAACTCACATTCGCATTCATAATATTAGTAGGGAAGTAGCGATAAGGATCCCACAAAAATGAATAACACACGTGTGATCTTTCATTGCCCCAACCGTATGCATGCATAAATATTCTGCGAATTCAATATATATCAGTCCAATGATTTTTATTCCAACCAGCTATCGGTTCCATAAGAAAGACAACAATGTTCTAGAAGGTCTTACCTTTTAAAGTGCGATTTCTCCATCACATAAACAGGGTGTTCCAAATTGAATCGACACCATTGCCAACTCCGTTATTATTGATGCCACGAATTCGGTTAAATGGGCGAACTAGTAGCATTTTTAATGGCCTTTCTAGATGTCGAAAACAATAAAAATGAAAGTCGCGTTTTCAAAATATTTCATGAAATGATATTTTTTCAAATGAAACGCCCTCATACAACAAAGCTCATATCCTCCTTCTTCCTAAAATTGAAAATGAGCGACTCACGTGAAAATATTTATTTCTTTCACTAGTACAAACAATTTCTTCGTTTTGGCGAAAAAAGAGCTATAAAATATGGAGTGAATTTAAAAACCACCGCCTTCTCGTTGAACATATATTAGGGCCCTTCTCTTGACACTTCGTGTTGCTTTCAACTCAATTCGACCATCAGTTCTATTAATTATAGTTTCAATATGATTTTTTCAGTTCATCTACATCATTATTTTTCATTTTGTACATCTCATTTTCCAGAAATTCCCAAAAATAAAAATCTAGAGGTGTCATATCTGGTGAACGGGAAGGCCACTTGAAAGAAATATTTGTAGCAATCCACCTGTTCCAAAACAGGCTCGCAATATTTTTTTACGCCACTGAAATTATGTGCTGGTGCTCCATTCTGCTGAAAATAGATCATCTGATGACTCTTCAGATCAATATCATCGAAAAACTCTTCCAACACTCTAGTAAATAAATTAATGTAATGTAGTCCGTTCCAAGAACCATGGTAGAAAAGGGGCTGATAATTCTGCCTCTAAATAGACCACATCAAACATTAATAGTAAATCCGCTTTGCGGATTGTGGGAATGGACTAGAAATGGGTTATATCTACTCCAATAGTATACGTTATTTTTATGCCACAATTTCAGAAATTAGTCTCATCGCTTCATATATTATTTCTATAGAAGTTTGGATCTTTTCTGCATTTGGTCATAAACTACCAACAAAACCTCAATCATCTCTCAGAGTCACCAGGATCTAGTATTCGCACTGGTCTTAACTTATTAACGTCAATTTCTGTATCTATAGATAATACAAAATGTTGTTTAGTTCTCCTCTTCTCGAAAACTTTGTTATTCCTGAACCGATGATGAAGCACAGCAAAAAAACGCAGAATAGGTAATTCACGATCGGGGAAGTAATTGCTGTAATGTTGGAGTGCTCCTACGCTATTTTTCTGGCAAACCAAGTGGGATTCTAACATATCACCTTTTTCTTGATGGGAAAACGCCATTTGGAAAAATATTCGAACAGTAGTTGACAGTTACAATAATTTATGACATTGTCATGATATACTTGAGAATATTCGACAAATAGAATTTCAACAAAGTTTCAAGGCAACTTGATTATTGATTGATTTTGTTTTATCGAATTTTTTCCGACCGTATTAGTATGACGCTCCAGTATTTTCGGGAAAAAACGGCTTCAATGTTATCATTATAGCAGACATATTTTTATTATCAAAATGAGTACGGCTTGTGGAATGGCTTCAAGATGGAAATTATCGTTTTGTAAATCAATACGAAACAGCTCAGTTGCGCAAGTTGAAATCCCATCCCAATTATATCTTTTTGCTGTTACTAACAAAATATACTAATTAGTATAAGTATCAAAATTGGGTATTTGGATAATCATGAGGTTTTATTTGCCAAAATAAAAAAAATTTTTGTACTAGTGAAATAAATGAATATTTTCACATAAGTCGCTCATTTTCAACTTTAGAGAGAAAAGTGACATAAGCTTTGTTGTTAACAATGTTTTTACGAATCGAAATGCATGATGAAATATAGGGTGTTCCATTCAAAAAAATGTCTTTTTATGAAATACTTTGAAAACACGACTGTCATTTTTTTGTTTTCGGCATCGAGAAGGCCATTAAAAATGCTACAAGTTTGCCCATTCAACCGAATTGGTAGCATCAATAATAACGGAGTTGGCAATGGTGCCGACTCAATTTGGAACACCCTGTATATTCAAAACTATGAATTATCATCGAATTATCCGTGCGTAAGTATCAAAATCAGCTCACCTAGGTCTAGCCCGGTCCGCATAAAGTCGGTCGAGTTCTTGCAGCCTGATGATGGCTCGTTGAACAACTCTCGGCCTAATTTCTGTTTGGACTGGACCACTCCGCAAACTACCTAACACCAGCAAGCGTTAACTCGTGAAAGAACACCAGATGGCCTCGGCAAAACCAAAAAGTTTCTTCGGAACCAGAGGTGGTCTGGTTGGGTAGTGTCGAGTGTTGAGATTTGCAAAGGACGCATTCGTTTATTCATATGTGAAAAGTGTTGCCAGATGAGAATGGAACCTTTCAGGAACAGCGTTAAATAATTGTTCGGGTGTTTTAATGCTTCGGTATTGCTGAAACTTTTTGGTTTGTCCTGGACCACTTAGAAATGTTTCATGCAGACAACTCAAAATACTAATACTATAATATGAGACAAAAGTGGTGTTACAATTTTGCTACAAAAAATATATAAATTAACAAATGCGTCGTTTACCAATACAAAACATTCCACACTAATCATTTTTTGTTTCTGGAAGATCTGAGTTTTTGCTGAATACATTGAGGAATGCATAAAGCAAATGATAGTAATAACGATTTCTTCTTATGGAATCTCATTTCCATTGGTAGTTTTTCCATATATAAGTATTTTCCATCATATTTGATGAAATTGATTGATACTTCATTCAACGTATTCATAACACTCAACACTTCATAGTGAAAATATTATTGTAATATGTAAGTAAGTGGTAATATGGATACCCATTTAGTATGGTCCAGTTCTCTACAATTATTCACTGAACAGTAAACAAAATCGTCTACAAGAATATTGTCATACACAATTTTTTGACACATCCATTTCAGCATGAAGTAGCAGAATTTGATAGATTGCTTCACAGCCTTTAGGATATTTCACTTTCAGAAAATACATTCTGAAGAGAGATGAATTTCAATAAATAAATAAATAGTTACGAGGTAGATATTATTGACTGCTTCATTTTCAGAAACTACAGAAACAAGTTATGTCATGAGATATTTGGTGAACACACTAACAATATCGTGGTTCTTGTCCCAAAACTTATACTGATCAAACTGAAAAAGCTTCTAAACAAAGAATAAAAGAACATAAATATGGTTTCTCGAATGTGAAATCAAATTCCACTACAGCAGAGGAGAGTGGGTTCAATCACGACTATTATGATATACGATCAGAAGAGAAAAGTTTGTCCCCTAATGTTGAGATTGGTGACTAATAATATATTGTGATGGAAACTTAAATAATTTTATTTTATTCCATGTCAGTTAGAATGAGATAAACCTTAGGATATTAAATTATCAGTCAGTAAGTAGGTATCCAAAGACAAGCACTTTTTCTGATAATCAGAACTTCAATTGAGCTTTCCATCAACCAAGTTAACTTCTTCAAGAGATGGAGGAACCAATGAGTTTTATTCATCTCTTCATGTATGGGAAACAAAGATGAAGTGTTATATTGATTTGTGAATATATTTCAGGTTTGAAGTGTCAGGAAAAATATCAGAAAAGGTATGCTGCAATTCTTTCCACCACAATTTTATTTCTGCCCTAATGTACTCCATTCCACATTGTTCAGTTCAAAGTCCTAAGAGTCATTCTAGTGACTCCGTGATGAATACGATGTAGATATTCATTTCAGAGCCATGTTATTTCTGCGATGAAAATAAGTAGAGTTTTGCAGAATTTTGAAGGATTCATCAGCGTTTGGAAAAATAATGCCTAGAACAATTTGAATTTATGTTCAATTCATGAAACTTCTGAGAAACACTCCTTGAATGAAATGTAGACCAATGATTTGAAAGAATTATTCCCAATACATTCAATTCTCTAACAATGTTGAGACACTAATTATTACTTGACCATCTACCATTACGACCACTTAGGTAAATCGTTTAGGCAAACTTTGATCATCAAAGCAGAACTTTGTTTTATCCGAAACTATTTTCTGTTCGATATGAGAAAGCAGATAATCTGGTGATCACACAATGAGGTGAAATGAATTCCATCACCGATTTCATCTGCAATTTTGATCAGTTAGATGAACTATTCAGGTAAAATATACAATTTTGCCCTCTCAAGCAGAACATAGCTTCATAGAAAACCATATTTTGATGAATATAAGCGGATATTCAACCAATGGAGTATCTGGGAAACTTTTCGAAGCAATAACATACAAACAGTGAAAATGAAGTTGTACATTATTTTTTATCAATGATTTCGACTATTGCGAGCTTTTTTCAGAAATCCATACCGTTTCCTTTCTCGTTTTTTGATCTAGACCAAGAAAGTGGTACCTGTGCTCAGTTAGAACGCTAGCTCTCAATTTGCGGAAACAAGGGTGCAGGTCGGTTCTTGACTTTTTATAGATATTCAATTGTAAGTGCTGCAAATTGTTAGCAAATCAAAAGCTCTTATTCGGACGCCATCTACAGAAGTTTCTAGAAATACTGTACCGCTTTTCAACACCTGTCACTTAGTTATACTGGGATAGGAGACACTTCAAACGTACCAATAAAACAAAGAATACGGTTTTCTAGGGAGTTTTGACAAGGTTTTGCATCTCCAACCTCGAAATTAATGAATTTACAAAAATAGCAAATAATCACTATTGAACATACATTGTCACTCTGCAAAAGGAATCGGAGTGTCAATGTTCTGAAAGTTTCTCATTCTTCCGATGGTTGCTTTAATAGGAAAAATAATAAAATGCAGGGTTTCACCCTAGGGTTTATTACACTTATTCTCACCATTTCTGATCGAAATTTTATTTCCAGAAACTATCAAAGAAACTCAAGGCTTTCATTTCACACTCCTTCAAATAGACTCCTCTCATTCTTGAGATCACGCATTCTCCTGAGATCCATAGCCAACTGAGACCTATATTTTATAGTGAATATATATATAGTGAATATTATATAGCTTTATAGTGAAGCCAGACACATCCAAGACGATACCCTAGTTGTATCCAATTTATTACTGTTTTCATACATTTGCTTGTTTTTATGCTATTGGTTTTTATGGTTTTATATTTTGGTGTTTGTATGCTTTCTATGATTATATGCTCTTAATGATTTTGCCTGGCAGAACAATGATACAAAAAAAATCCTGATGACTCTACGAGTACTTGAAATTAACCATTTCAAAATATGTCCACTTCAGAATCAATATCTAAGAAAATCCCTCAAAAAGGTGTAATTTATTCTGATGAATGATTCTAAAAATTTTTACCTAAATTACCACGTGCTTCCTATATGAAGCCAGGCACAGAAATGACTCTAATTAAATTTCATCCTTTACAGATGGAATCGGTTTGAGTCCAGAACTCAACCAATGTCACCACCTGTTTCATCAGTCCCTTCAGACATACACCCATCAGTTCTAAGTATGACATTACTAAAAGTAGATATCTCTGTCTGTATCTCTACTTTAATCAATTATGAAAAACCACTCTATGACTGAACAAATATGGACTTTGAATGATGTCAGCATTATAATTATGATTCACCCGCGTAGAATTTGGTTTGTCACATTTCTTTACAGATCATTTTAAACAAATCGTTGCAATATTTTTTATCGGCCCAAAACTTCAGGTTTCCAACTTCAAAACTGACGAAATTTAATACAATCTTTGGACCTCTATTTTTCCCCTTGGGGTGGAAATTCCTGATTCGCTTTCCTGATGCTTATTTACGCTATAAAAAACCTACCTGTATATTTCAAGATTCTAGATTCAGTAGCTTCAGGAAACAGCTAGTAATTTATATTTTTTCTTTTAAAATACAATAACTAAAAAAATATGCCAATTGCACTAAGTAATGAATAGCTTCGAGAATCGAAATATGTTACGTAAAAATAAATTCGAAAAACTAGCACAAATGTCAACGACGTCTGCCCTCACGCGTCTGCCCGCGTTCGGGTCGAGTTTTCGGTGAATGCGCTTCATTGCTTAGACCGCTACTCTGCCCCCGCGTATCGTTCCCCGTCGTCTTACAGTAGACAAGACGCTCAATGGCTTTCTGCGTTGCATCAAGTTAATCTTATCGTGATAACTTTTAAACGATTCGTCCAAATTACTTAGTTTATAAAAGACAAAGTTTATGTATATTAAATACTTAAAACGTCAATTGTTTTAATTTTCATAAGAATCTGACAGATATTCTAAAATATGCACTATAAAAAAGTATCCAATTTAATTGTTTTGTGGCTCAGTATTTTCCATATAGTGGCTACCACATAAGAGGTAGATATTCGCTATCGCGAACTTTCATTATAAACTATTTAAGATGTAACTCCAACCGTATAGGCAGCGAACGTCAATATAGCTCTCAAGGAGCAAGAATTTTTCCGACTTACTCAATACTTATTGTAATATTATGACCATAATTACACAAAACCTTCGTAAATTGTAGCCTATATGTTATTCTAGTATATAAACTATATTTATGTAAAGTTTAATCTAAATACGTTCAGTCGATCAGGAGTGGAAGAGCCACAAAAATCTTCACAAACTTTCACATTTATAATATTAGTATAGAGTATAGATATAGATTTGAAGTACTACTGTAGCAAACTGTTTAGAAAAATCCCAGATTTGTGAAAATAAAAATTTCACATAATGGGTGTGTTATAATCCTCAATTCGAATCGACAAGAAGGGTTTATTTGTGTTCAGATTGTCTCGTAAACTGTATGAAATGTAAAGTGGAAAAATAAAATGTTTTCTGCGCCAACTTTTCGATGTACACTTTTCAGCCCTTTTTAACACCCAAACAGATTCTCTCTAGATTGAGATTCGTAAAATATTCTTTCGGATTCATTGGAAAACTTTCTCAGGATTTTGGCGAAATGTTTATTGGGCTGTAGACGTGAATAATATTTATGTGTGAAGCATGTACTGTCGTATAATCCAGGGATATTCCGGGTACATCCTTTCAACTTCAATCGAAACTTGGCTCAACTAGTTTGGCAATAGAGGCTTTGTACACGATTAGTTTTCGAAACAGTTACATTATAATGCATGCAATTACCGATTCAGATGGTGAGGTATGAAGAGATACTGGGAATACGTCAGTACGTGATTTTGTCGTGCGCAAG